AGTGAGAGAGTGAGGCAGTGAGAGTGTGAGTCAGTGAGTTAGTGAGTCAGTGAGAGAGTGAGGCAGTTAGAGAGTGAGAATGAGACAGTGAGAGAGTGAGAATGAGACAGTGAGAGAGTGAGACAGTGAGAGAGTGAGGCAGTGAGAGAATGAGACAGTGAGAGTGAGACAGTGAGAGAGTGAGGCAGTGAGAGAGTGAGAATAAGACAGTGAGAGAGTGAGAATGAGACAGTGAGAGAGTGAGACAGTGAGAGAGTGAAGCAGGTGAGAGAGTGAGAATCAACTTTTCTTAATATGGTTGAATTTTTGAATTATATGACATGTGGATGAAGTGCTAATGAAATGGTTTAAAAAAAAAAGAAGAGTTGTGCAATCATCACCACAATCAATTTTAAGACATTTCTTCTTTGTACTCATTGTTCTTAGTCACCCATTTCCTGTCAACCCCCTACCATGCCCCTAGGAATTCATTAATCCAGTTGTTGTCTCTATAGATTTACCAACTGAGGTTTCATATACAGAAAAATATACAAAATCCAAATAAAAAACAACCTGACAACAATGCCAGAATAAAATAAAGCAAGCCTAAATTGAAAAGAAATAAGAAAATATTGAAAAGTGGAACAAATACACATTGCATCAAAAGAGAGATCAAATGACAAGATGTCACATTTTAAGATACCTACCACTGCAGTAATGCCCCTACAATGTACTCTGTCTGATAACAAGGCCATTTCCATCCCTGGTCCAGAGGCAGAGGGGTTTCACATTGGGGATGCTGCAAATGTGACTAGGGCTTCACTGTTATCCATTGGCTTCTGCAAACTGATGTCTGAAATTTAAGCTCTAATACTAGGGACAGAGCAACTTATTGTAATTAACATAAACATCAAAAAACAACAAAGAAGCAAAATCAACAGTTTAACCCATCTCTCCAACAATTAAAAAAGAATAGTAAAATAAGTTTATAATCAACAGAATAAAAGAAATAATAAAGATTAGAGTAAAATAAATGAAATAGAAAACAAAAACAATAGAGAAAATTAAGAAGACCAGAAGTTGGCTTTTTGAAACAGTAGTATAATCAACAATCCCCTGGCAAATCTAAGAAAGAAAAAGAAAATGCAAATAGCACTAATAAGAAATTAAATAGGTGATGTCACAGTAGAACCAACATAATTAAAATGCTTAACAATATTATAAGGAACTATACTGCAACAAATAAAAAACCTAGAATAAATGAACACATTTCTAGAAAAACACTCCAACCCTACTAACAGATTGAAATAGAAAATTTGAACAAACCCATGACAAAGGAAGAAATAAATCAGGTCATTATAAACAAAACAAAAAACTTCCCCCCATCCCCCGAATGTACTCTTGAAACTATATGAACTAGTCATTTTCTTTCTTTCATTAAAAAAATTAATATATATCATATCATTCCAGAGTTCGAGCACATCAAAGAGAATTGTACAATTGCTACCACAATCTGTTTCCAAACCTTCTTTTTCTACATGGAATTCCTGACATCATCTTCCCTTCGCCACTCCTCCACCACTGTATTCCCTGTCCCTGAAACCTGTATTTTACATTCTGCCCCTTTACCTTCCTCAATCCTGGGTTTCATATATCAAAAACCAGAAAAACATATAGCACAACTTCAAGAGGGTGACCTCCAAAGACATGACGCCTCTGAGATACACCCTTATGTGAACAAACAAAAATCCAAACAAAACAGTACAAATAAAAAATACAGAAAATTTTGGAAACCAGATCAAGTCCAACATGCATCTTAGTGGGAATCTACTGACAAAGTTTCAACTGTTCAGGTCAGATTTACACCTTTGAACTTGTCTATACATCTCTCCAAACCTTTCTGCTTAGTAACCACTTCCTTCTCCTCCCTCAATTGGATATAGAGGGAGTCCTCCAAAAACTTGTTTCCTATGTAGTTCCACAAATGAATATTGAGCTCCCACTGTCAACCAAAGCCTCTGTATTCCCAATTCTCACAATTTAGGCTCTAATACTAGTACCTCTTGGACTATGGATTATATGGTTTACCATCCTTCGGTGACTGATGAGGGTGTGCTTCTTCCATGTGGACTTAGTTGGGATCTCACGTAGATGGCTGCTTGCTTGGAAACAAGCCATGTACATTCTTCACTACATTTTATTATAGCATCCATGTCTTCTGTGTTTTCTTCCGGAGGTTGAGTATCAAGCAGGGCCATGATGTAATTCTTCTTAAGTTGGAGCTGGAATTTAGTGTGAGACCCAAACCCATTTCTTGATCTACGTATTCTGTTCTATTAATTTGTTATTACTTAGGGTAATACATTTGTCATGTCACTCTACAGTTCAATCTCATCAATTAGACTTGTGCGTTTGCTTCCATAATCAGTTTCCCTATATACTTTTCCATCCTGGTCTCCTTGATATCATCTCCCTTTTACCTCCCAAGCCCCCATTGCCCACTCCACCCCACCCCATACCCTTGTTCTATTTGCTGTCACTATAGACACATCAATCCTTTAAACCAAAAATAGCCTTGACCCAGATAATTTCAATGGTGAATTTACCAAACATCCAAAGAAGAGATGACAGCATATCTATTCAAGTTATCCCAGAATATAGAAAAGGAGGGAGTATCCCTCAATTCATTTAATGAAGTGAATATAGACTTTGATTCCAAAGCCAGTTAAGATATCACTAAGAAAGAAAATTATAAGCTTCTAAATCTCATTAATTTAGATGTAAAAAGTGTTAGCAAACTTGTAACTAATTGAATTGAATAACATAAAGACAACACATAATGACTGTGGTTAAGTGGAATCCATGATATATGTAAGCCCTCACTAATTCATTTGCATGCTGAACATTCTACAACTTAGACCAGAGGAATGTAATTGGTTGGAGGGCCTAAGCCCGCCGCCAGGGTAACGTGTCTGCTTTTGTTTTTCAGTTGCCAGAGAAACCTGGCTTAACTATGACATTTGGAAGACCAGCAGTGATCACAAATTGGCTGCTTCAAAGAGCTGGAGTCTCGATTCAGGTCAGCATCTAAAAAGGTACGTTTGTCTTGGGGAGGAGATGAGCCAGTTAGGGTGTGATGTAACAACGATGAAAAATACAACTTTCCTCTAATTCCTAAATGTTTCCTCCCCGATCCCACTACCATGACTCGAATTTGACTTTGCAAGTCTGGCTAGACCAGAGGAGGTACGCTGGTACAGATAGGAACTGAAAATACAGGGAATCCAGGGCGGATGAGCCCTACAGGACCAGTGGTGTGAGTGGCGAAACAGGGAGGGTAAAGGGAGAGTGGGTAGGAAAGAGGGAACCGATTACAAGGAACTATATGTGACCTCCTCCCTGGGGGACAGACAACCAAAAAGTGGGTGAAGGGAGACGTCGGACAGGGCAAGATATGACAAAATACTAATTTATAAACTATCAAGGGCTCATGAGGGAGGGGGCCCGGGGAGGGAGGGGAAAAATGAGGACCTAATGCTGGGGGTTTAAGTGGAGAGAAAATGTTTTGAGAATGATGTACAAATGCGCTTTACACAACTGATGTGTGTATGGATTGCGATAACAGTTGTATGAGCCCCTAATAAAATGTTTAAAAATAAAATAGAATAAAATAAAAAGGTACGTTTGTTGTGTACTAATGATCAGAAAATGCGATCCTGCTAACACAACTATCCCTCATTACAGAATTGTGGATACCACCTCATCCTTTCAAACCATCCCTGAAAGTCTATAAGAAAGTTTCATCTGCGAAAGCACTAAGAGTAGTCAGAAGGGGAATGGGTTCCAGAAAGCAGAGTTCTGATAATTGTGAACAACAATGTGTAGAAGAAGACAACTTTAAAAAAGCAACAGGAGGCCCCAAAAAGAGAAGTAAGATGAGAAGGGCCGCCTCAGAAAAGAAGACAGCTAGTCTTCAGCAGAAGAATCTTGAGCCAGCTCCCGCGGGCAGATGTGGAGGTCCCTCTGCTGAGAATCCTCCTTCAAGATCTGTGAGGAAGACCAGAAAGAAGAAACAGAAAAATTCTGGAAATAGAAATGCTGGTAGTACTAGCAAAGAAGCTCAGCCACCTTCGAGGAAGAGGGCCGGGGCAGATCCTACTATAGAAAAGAAGAAAGCATTTGAGAAGTGTGTGAAGGTTAAGGGGAAGATCCCTAAAGAATTAAAAGCATGGCTTATTGAGGACTGGGATTTAGTTACCAGGCAGAAGCAGTTGTTCCAGCTCCCGGCTAAAAAGAACGTAGAAGCCATTTTGGATGAATATGCAAATTACAAAAGACATGAAAGAAATGTTGACCACAAGGAGTGTGCGGTTAATGAAGTTGTGGCGGCAATAAAACAGTACTTCAATGTGATGTTGGACACGCACTTGCTCTACGAATTTGAGAAGCCACAGTATGCTCAGATTCTCATGGCTCACCCTGATGTGCCGATGTCCCAGATTTATGGTGCACCCTACCTACTGAGATTATTTGTAAAACTCTGCGAAATTCTGGCTTTAAAGCCCTTTGATGGAAAGAGCCTGTCATTATTGCTGGGCTATCTGCATGATATCCTAAAATACCTGGCAGAGAATCGGTCAGCCCTTTTTACTGCAAATGATTACAAAGTGCCTTCAGGCGAGTACCATCATGAAGCCCTGTGAGGATCTTCTGACCGCTCACTGTAATGTCTGAATATCCAGAAACCTTCTTCTTTTTGTTCTTAGTTTTTTTCCTTTATAATTGATGGTCTCTGAAATTGTTAATGTATCACAGGGCTGATGGTTATATTAGTTTTCTGTTTGTTTCAAACCGAAAATAAAACAGAGCATAAACTCCTTTTCTCATTTCAATGTTGCGACCAGTGTGTGCAGTAATTAGACAAAGAAGAAACCTCCGGCAGAACATTGTATTGCCTCGCTGACCAACATTTCTTAAATGCTGGGGTTTCTTTGATGTTACGCAGTTTTCTACTATGTGTTAGTGCTGCATGACAAAATGTCCTGATTCCTAGTGCCAAAGATCCAACCGAATGTGTATACCTGAAAACCCATGCATTTGTGCTTGCTCTCTCTCTTTCAATGGTGCTTGAAATAAAGCACCTTTGAAAGAAACCTATGTTGTTTCTTAGGCATTCTGACTTTGCTCAAATTGTTGAAGGATGGTGGTTCGTTTCATGTTTTTTTTTCCATATTTAACCACACATTTGTTTATTGAGCAATGTTATGTTTTCCAAAATCTTTTAAAAATCATCTATACATATATCCATTGTGTCCAGCACATTTGCACATTTGTTCCCATCAGCATTCTCAAAACATTTGCTTTCTACTTGAGCCCTTGTTATCAGCTTCTCATGTTTTCCCCTTCCTCCCCACTCCCTCCTCCCTCATGAACCCTTGATAATTTATAAATTATTATTTTGCCATATGTTACACTGCCTGAC